CTCATCCAAAAGGAGAGATGCCTACATCATTGTGTCTTAGGATTATGTAAGTAGCAGGCTCGTCTTAAAGCAAGTGGTGGTTGCTTTATGGGTTCTTTATAATCCTCCTAAATATGAAATCCCTAAAAATCAAATAAAATATTTAAGTCGCAAACAACTTAAAGCGAGATCATCATTGATTTAAGATTAAACATTTTCATTTCAAAATAAAATCAAACACCTCTTGTAGTGACATGCCATATAAGCCTCATACATTTAGGTGCACAACCCCTAAGCATGTTAGGATTATGATTTTTCTTTTTCTGCACATGTGTTTGATGATGTGGTGTGATTGCCTTTGAATTATCTGTGTTGTGCGCACTTGCCCTTAAGTGGATAGTGTAGAAATATATATGGATATTCTTCTTGCAGGTGTTCATGTCCAAAGGGGAGGGGGGAATAAATCATAAATAAAAATGTTTGTATAACAGATATTACTTAAAACCCCCTAAAAGGCACGACCATTAAGGTGTAGAAGCAGGGGCTTATACAATTCTGGTTGTGTTTCCTAATATATATGAATTGCTCCTAATCCTCAGATTTAAGTTGTAAGTCAAATTTTTTAAACAAAATAGCTTCCCTACTCTTCATATGTATTGAGAATGGACTTCATGGTTTTAAAAACGATTAGGTGGGTTTAACTGGTAGCCCTTTGTAGGCAGTGCAATAAATCCAGAGGTCGAGATGACTATACCTTATATGAGGTATGATTTCGTTAGACTTATGTTTAAGGCACTATCTCTCAATAGTTCTCACCTTTGTTCTATGGTTCGAGGCAGATGTTGATTTAAATTACTTCATAAGCCCTCACCTTTCAGGCATTTCCTCCAACATGTATTGTTGAAAAGTATGTCCCGACATTCTAAATTAAAATAATTAGCTTAAATAAAAATTAGATTCTAAAATATAAAACCCAACATAGAATAGTTTGAGTACTTCTGAGTTTCCCTCAGAAATAAGTATTCCTACACTTTACTCCTTTGACGCTCATTCTAAAAAATCTTATTTCAAGTTAATCTTCTCATCATTGAAATTCCTAAAGACTAAATATCTTCAAATAAGAATTTCATAAATTTCAAAATGAAGATTTTTTGCCTATATTTCGATGATTTTTAAAAAAGAAAGGAAACCGTTAGTTTAATTAAAAGTTTTTTCAAGTACAAAATGCTTGAGATGTAATTAACTATAGGGATTTGCCCCTATGGGGCATCCGTACCTCCAGAATAAAATAAACCTCATTCAACCAAATATTAAATGAGTGAAAATATATGTTTACAATTCAAATTGTAAATTTTGTTATTGAGCCCATAGGGAATGATATTTTTGTCATTTGGGGTAATATATTATTTTCGATGCTGTATTCAATCAGAAAATATGCAATCCGTTGAGGATAAAAAAATTTCTTCAACAAGCACGAGATTGCATGCAAGTATTCCATAGGTTTTCTAGTTAGATTTAACAAACACATGATCTTAATTAATTGAGGACTATCAATTATGCTTGTCACATTTGAAGGTTTCTTATTATTTACTATATGTTTATGTTGATCATATTGCTAGAGATAAATTTGACCCAAAATCTAAAAGTACCATTTTCATTTGCTATGATGGAAATAAGTTTGGATATAAATTTAGGGATGGTGAAGGTGATCAAATAATTAGATGAAAATTTTTCTTCAATGAATATATATTATATAAAGACAAATCAATTATTACTTTAAAAGACATTGTACTCTAGAGCATTTTGATTTTTGAACTAGAGAATGTGCCTCTCTTTTCTTCTGTCTTCCTCTTCTTTGTTTTCTTATGATTGTGGGATTTTTTTACAAATAATGCTTCCATGTGTTTATACTTTATATAGTACCTTCTAACATTAAATGATCAAACACCTTGGAAGATTTTTATAGCATCCGTTGTAGACTTTTGTGATAACCTTCATTTAGGACTTTATGATACCCTCTATTGAAAACATTTTAGTTAGGACTTTCATATTGATGAAACGAGCCATTATTTTCAAGAATTAAAATTTTTTAATCCACACTTGTCAATCTTCCACTTAGAGTTTGAATTTCTAATGTATTATTTTGATGATTATATTTGAGCACTTCTCTGTACGACTCCTCCGTGTACATTAATTCACTCATGTGATTCTATACAACAATAACAACATCAAGCCTTTATCCCACTACGTGAGGTTGGTTATATGAATCATTTTTCTCCACTGTATACTGTTAAGAGTCAAAGTCTCATTTAAATATAATAAAGAAAGGTCATTTCTAATATTGTCTAACCAAGCCTTTTAAAGGTAAATTATTGTTGTGAAGTCCCAAGTCCTGGATGAGAAAAATAGAGGGTTATGTTAGTCAGTTGACAACCAACATAAAATTTATTGAATAATCATGACTTTTGTGATTCTATAATGCAATAAATTTATGGAATGTTCTTTTTTCATAATTTCATTAAAGATCTATACACCCTAGCATATATTTTATAAAGTAAACAATATTTAGTACATTGAGCTACAATGAAAGATCCCTCAATAAGTTCTTACCATCCTCCACCTATGATGCTTGTGTTGTCTCTCATCTCCAACATTCTTAGACACTTTGCCACAACACAATGGGATGAGGTTGGATTATGTTATTTTAAAGAATTTAGAGTTTTTCCAACTTTTCCAATTCACCTTAGAATGTGTGAGGCGAGGTTATGCGTTAAAAAAAAGCTAAACCACATAAGTTTGAGTGAATGGTGGACAAGAGCACAAGTTTGATTATTCAAATACAATGTAGGTGAAAAGTAAATAATAATTTAAGGACATGTGGATCCAAACAGTGATTCATCACCTCTTTGTACCTATATTTGCTCATGAAGTATAATAATGTTCAAAATAAAAGTAGGCATAAACTTCCTTTAAATGTCAACTTATTTTCATTTAATTCTACTTTTAAATTCTGAGTATATATATATACTTAAAGGTATCATTTAGGTATCATTTATCATTTATTAACAGTTTAATATCACAGTTAATTAAGACTAATGAATAATTAATTAACAATTAACTCATTTTTTCTGTTACTATAGCACAACAAAAAATTCCACTAATCCAAGCATGCAAGGATTTGATTAATTGGAGTGATGGATCATACGGCTACGGGTGCTTGGAATGAAGTAGTGGAATTAGGAGTAGAGTATAATAATTCTTAGTGGAGTTCTGAATGGAATTTAAGTCCTTAACTAAGGCATTTTCCCCTCATCATAATATTCACTAGCATTGGAGGAAGCTGCTGTTGCCGAGAGCTGCAGGCTGTGGGATAGCAGGGAGCTGGAGGAGGCAGGGCTGCGGTGTGAGTGCTGCAGCTTGCTGTTGGTGAATTTTCAGGTAAGGAAATATAGGAAGGAAGTTAAGAATGCAGCAGTAGTAGTTGTATTCTTAGCCTTTGCTGACATGAGGTGTTGTTTGCTTAAAGTAGGTAATATTACAGTTGTATGGTTGCTGAAATTAGTTGGATAGTGTTGTATTCAGCTGAGGTGAGGGCTGTAGTTGCTGAAACCAATATTGGTGCTAAACTACTTGTGTGAAAAACTTGCATATTGCTAAAATCTGTTGAAAATACAGCATAAGACTGCTGTGCATGGCTGAAATCAACTGTGTTGCTGCAATTAATAAGGTGAAGATGGAGAAATTCAGAAAATAATAAAGAAATAAATGGGAAGAGAAGCAGAGAGGAAGAAGGGGGGAGTGAGAGGTGAAATTTTGGGTTGAATGAGGTCATTTTAGATAAATTTTCATATAAGTTGTGTTATTTTTATATACTATATGTATGCACACATAAATGAATAAAATTTATGGTTTAGGTGATATACAAGAGGAAAAGAAAACAAGATTTAGAAGAACAAATTCCTAGTAAGGTGAGATACCCAAATGATGTCATAAGAAATAAATTTTATATATTCTGTCTAGATGAAGTTTTCCTTTTCAATTCCTCCGGAGGCTCTGATATCATGTTAATTTGAGAGGTATGAGAGGAAAAGCATAAATTTTATTATACTATACAATCCTTATTGATAGATCTATACAAGATCTTTAATAAAGAAACAAATAACTACATAATAATGAAATATAACTCTTCCTAAATTTGTTGCCCATTTATGGCGGGTGTTCCACGTGATTAAGGCGTGCTTCCCACGGATCCTTCCTTGTAGCCGTGGGATTAACATGAGAACGAGAGGTTGAGATTTAACAATTAGCTCAATTATTTTTGCTAAGAAAAAAAGAATGAGGTGAGTATTAGGGTTTAGTGAGTGCTATTATGTTTTACCTAATAGGGAGTCCAGCCAAAATGTTCGATCATTTGATGAAAAGGATTCCTCTAAAATTTACGAGCCCTTTTGGGTTTAAATTGAATTAAAACTTGCCAATTAGGTAGTTGAATTAAAACTTTCAAGTCACCTGGATTTTAGGTTCCTAAAAAAGTGGGTGATTTACCTGATCATTTTGGGTTTAATCATGAAGATTTGGCTGGGTGACGACCAAGATTTATGAGCCCTATTAAGAGTCCAATATCCTAGCCTTAGTAAGACCTCTCCCAACTCAAAAGAGCAATCAACAATACCATAAAAAGAAAACATGACTACATATTTTGCCATCAAAACGTCAAATCTTTTATTGGCTTGACATAAAACATTTCTTACACATGGCTCATAGAAAAATTTATTCCTATCATATTAGAACAATCTAACAAAATCTTCAAACTCAAAGGACCAAAATAGAAGATTGTGGGAAGATAATTTTTGCTACCACAGTATTTACCTTATGTGCTAGCTTCATGGTAGGCTTTAAATTTTACCCAAGCCTCATGAACATAATAACTACTTCACCCTACTCTTTTTTTAATATAAAATTATGTCTTAGTTCCATTTTCCTAACATACATGCATCATATTTCAACCTTTTTTTTAATAGAAACGGCTGGAGAGTCTCTCTGAAGCTGAAATGGAGGCACTGCTGGAGCAAGTTGAGGAAGAAAAGAGACTTCTAGCAAACAGAGAGCAAGGCTAATTTTGTTTTCTTAGATCAGGGCCATCAGGCTTTGTTTCATTTGATTTGCCAAATACAATAAAGTTTATACTAAAGCAGACATGAAAATGTTAAATATGCAGCTATAGTGTACAGTGAACTCCTCTTCTCGTACTCATTCCCTGTATAGTTTCTTTGCAATGCATTTTTTGTACATTATAGTAGACTCAGTCCTGCAGAATCAAGAGATGATTATACATGTTATTCTCTTTTATAATTCTGAGTTTGAGATGAACTTCAAAATAGTCCTCCGATGATTATTCCTAAATGATCAATTCAGTCTAAATTTAGTCACTCGGCTATGTAAAATTGATCCAAAAAGTGGCCCTTTGGTATTAAATTAGGATCAATTTTGTATAGTCAAGTGACTAAATTAGTTCAATGTGATGTTTTGGGATTAAATTAGCCACATACGAATGGTCTGAGGTTTCTTTTGACTAAATTGGCCACATACGAATGGTTTAGAGGATTTTTTACTTTTATTTTTATTTTTTGAATTTCTATATAACTACTGACCGAATTTAGGGAAGTTATTTCCATGGAGAAAATAATTTTCTTATTTGGAGTGTCATATGTTCAGCAGTAGTTTAAAATCATTGCAAAAAATTATCATTATTTTCGAAAAAGGCTCTCCATTGAAATCTCCTTCCTCTATATTGTTAGCACTTAAGTTCCCATATATAAGATATGAAACCTAATTAAGTTCCCATATATAAGATTATTATAGTTAATTATCTACTATTTTATTAGATTAGGTTGGGATTATATTTAAGTTTTGTTTGAGACAGCTTTCTTATTGTTTCTTAAACAGTTTTTTAATATAAAAATTTTAATTTTTAAATTAAAAAATTATTTTAAGACGTAATAAATATTTGGTGCTCTCTCCGTGGATTTTACAATGTGGCTTTGAGTGTTTCAGTTTGTGACCAATAAATGTTATTTATTAAAGGATAAATAAACATATTTTATTTAAAGTGCCGATGGATCGAGTCATACAGAGATAGAAATTATGCATGTTAAGGGAAGCATAATAGAAAGTGAAAAGGTATAAACACATAAGTAAATGAAGAGTTTTAGAAAGAAAGATCATCATAATTATCATTCACAACCTGGAAGTGGTTACACCTGAATATTGATTTCCTTTCAATTCAAGCACTGGTTCCGTAGAGGATTTCCATTTTACACCAGGAACTCCTTCTAGTTGTTTAATCATCTTTCGTGTCTTCTTGGAGATTGCAGCCTGCCATTCATCTTTTTCTGTCATTATTTTTTCTTTCATACATAAATCAAATAATAATCCCTGCTATCTTTATTATGGCAAATGAAATTCATAAACCTGTAATTTGAATAATGATAAGCACTTTAATTGATATAGAGTCGATCATAAGGTCAAGAATTCCCCCCTTAAGACTCAAGAGTAGTCTAATTTGACAATAGCATGAGATATAATTTTAAACATTAGAATAAAAATGGGGGAGAAAAAACTAATGGAGGTCAACATAAAAAAATAAAAATAATGGCAAATGACAATAAATTAAATATTATTTTCAACCCAATTAATATCCATAACAATTTGGCACCTTTGATTAGATTGACTCAAATATTTGTTAAATTTGTGTAGTTCAATGTCTGCTAATAAAGTTTCTAGATGCTAAAAAATTGCTTAGTGTCAACTCATATCCTTATATATTCCTTTTAGCACAGATGGATTTTAGATTTATATTGAAGCTTCATATCAGTGTTTGGGTTATGTCTTAATGCAATATGCTAGACTGATAGCCTATGTGCTCAGACAACTTGAGGTGTATGAGAAAACTTATCTTACATATGATTGAAGCTGCCATAATTATTTTTTCATTAAAAATATGAAGATATTATTGTTACGATATTTGTTGTGAGGTATTCATTGATCATTAGAGCTTGAAGTATATTTTTACTAAAAAAAGTTAAACTTGAGACAAAGTGAAAGGCTTGAGTTTATGAATGACTATGATTTGTAAATTTAGTATCACCCAAACAAGACTAATGTATTTGCTAACACGTTGAATAGAAATTTGTTAAGTTATGCAACTTAGATTATGCACTATTACATAAGTTAGAATGACACACACACACAATGCTTTGACCCAAAAAATCCTCTTTTTTCCTTTATCCATGCTCTTTTCATACATGAAGTTGGAACCTAACTAGAGCTTAGGAAAGAGTTGGCTATTAATTGATTATTATTACATGCTTCTTCATAGAAATCCTGAGTTATACATTACATGAAATAATCTCTTCTAGAATCACAAATATATACTTACAAAGCCTAAAATTTAATTATTCCATTGGTTCCAAAAATCATATGCACATTGATTCTAATCATAATTGTAAGGACTTTCCTCTTTAGAAAGCCTCATTCTCACAAAAATAAAATCTTGAAAATAAGAAAAATTAAGTGTTGTTTTTTATTTTTTATATACCTATTGAAATTAAAGGTTTATATGCAAACTTGATCCCAAGTTCATATAAACTTAGCTAAATTTGTATATCTTGAATTAGAGAAGAATGATCATGTTGTATACGTCAATTTCAAATGAACTTGATTGAATACAACTAACAATTATTTTGATTGAAATAATGTTTTAGCTAACATACATGTAAATTTTTTTTATGCAGAGCATATTTCAAGGTGATAATATGGTTGATTAAAATGTGAAAATTTTCAAGCAACTTAACAAATAATTGCAATTCAATAACTAAACTTAAAATAACTTGACATGGTCATATGCTTAATAAAGCTTGAGTTCAATGAAATAAAAGATTAATTAAAATTCATGATTATTAGCGACGCTTTCATAAAAAAAAAATTATTTTAAGCTTTGTTTCAATTATCTAACCAAGTATGCCAACATTCATGATTTTATGACTTTACACAATGAGAAGAAGACTTAACAACAATACTTTGATATCTTTATAATCAACTTGCTTTATTATGCATAAGTTAGTTCCAATCAAAATCTCACCTTAGATCTTATAACATCAACTAAAATATAATGGTTTGCTTGAGATCTTTGACAATGTTGATATTAAAAGCCACCACTCCAAATCTAATGGCTTGAACCAAATCTCCAATAACACTAATCTCAAATCTTCAGGACACCAATGATTCATCATCATCAAATATAGCACAATGGTCTAACATATATTGTGAAGAGATCATGACTGGATTATCGGGCATGGGATTGATTGAAGAGTCATTATATAACAACTCAAACTCTTAACTATCGAGATATTGTTTGCTATGATCTCATGAGTTTGTAATATTAGTATAACTTCACAAGAGGTCATCCATCTTAGAATTTCTTCGGGATGAGCACACTTAACTACGGAATCTCTTAAATGAAATTCCAACCATTATACCAAAAGATGCCTTGATGTTTATGAGTTTAATTTCTTTTGCTTAAGGAGTTTCACACATGATGCCCTCAACCAAATGGCATTTTGTTTCAAAATAAAATTTTAAAGGTAAGGTGGTACATCAATCTACCATGTGCTGCACAAAAATTCTCATATAATGCCAACACCTATAAATATCTCATGGGAATGAGGGAGATAAATTAATTATGAACTTCATTGTCACTCTTAAGGTGAAGATATGTTGACCTGCTTTTAAAGTTTTTTTCTTGTTTTAAGCTCATTTATTAACTTAGAGAAAAGAGTATTTTTCATAGGAAAAATTCCTTAGGTAGGCTTTTTTTTTTTGGTTATGTGATTAGGACATGAGCCTATAATTAGATGACATTTTTTTTAAAGATTCTCTATTAACTCAAGATCATTTCTAATGCACAATAATAATAATAAAAAGAAATATTGCAGTTATGAAAATCACATGGGTCTTGAAAACCCTCTTTGTTTTTCTTTTCTCACCCATTTTTTATCTCTCAAAATCAAGTATGGTACAAAATGCATGATTTTTTTTTTTTTTGCAAATGTATCATCTTCTTGATCAAAATTGGACATCGCAAGCTTAATAAGTTAATATAGAAAATATTTTTAACCTTGAAAGTTGAAACTATTATTTTTCTTATGATAAATTTAACTTAGAATCTTAAGAAATTCCCAAGATACTGAGTATACACTCATGAATATAAATTTTAACTTGTGTCTTTTAAGCTTCATTTAGGAAGACTTTTTTACTGCTTTGTAAAGCCAGATTTTAGTTAAAAAATCTCTTAAAAAAACGAAAAAAAAAGTTTAAAGTTGTCCCAAATGAAACCTTAATTATTTGCCAAATGCTTATTTCAAACAAAATAATTTAATTATAACCCTCAAGATAATTAGGAATATTCACTAAATATGATTTAATATTGATTAATTGGAGGACCGCTAAAGTGTAGAAGATTTGAAGATTCAAGTAAATACTTGAAAACTTCAACATTTAGAGTATGTTTCGTGTTAGAGTTATTTAGTTTTCATGGTATATAGTCTTTAGTTTGATTATTGTTGATTCAAGATTGATGAAAATAAAATAAAATGTAAAATATTTAGTAAGTTTCAAAAAAAGTTTCATCACTAATTCATAATTACACTCCCTAATTAAAAAATAATTTAATTACTTATCAATAATTGTTGAATGATCAATAACAATTTTCAACCAATATATAAGTACTAGAATTATTTTTCTTCAAAATAAAATTTTTAGCAATTAGTTTTTGTAATTAAAGCTCCAATAATATGATTAATTATCAAACAGTTGTTGATAATTACTAATTTATTATGTTAATTTTAATCGAGGAATAAATAGCTTATCAAAGTTCTAAAAAATGATTAACGGTAATATGAATTTTTAAAATAGATGGAACGAAAAATATAATTGTGAAGAAATGAGACTAAAAAAAGTAATTTATGCCGAGCAGGACCCAATCATCAGACTAATAAATTAATTAGTTGTTTTCAAAAGAATAATAGTAATGAACTAATCGTTCTCGAACTTTGGTCTGGTTGAAAAGAGCAACACGAAAAC